GCGGAGCTGCGCCAAGAAGTTACAAACACTGAAGAGAAGGAGAGCTATCATCGATACAGTTGCAGCATGTTTTAATGCTGCAACTGTAACTTGCTAAAACAATGCAGTTTTAGCAAGTTGCTCAAAGTCTAAACTGGCATTGTTGTGCATTTAAGGTGCAAAGTTTACCTTCGACCAAACATGCCCCACAGGAATCCCAGCGCCCCCCTTTTGTAAAAATTTCCGCCAGAGCCCCCTGCCGTCCTCTGAACGCCCCCTGGAGGGTGGTAGAGCCCACGTTGAGAACCGCTACGCTACTGCGTCACATGTTTGCCTGAGGAGCGGAGGCAGCAGTATGACGTCTTGTCTGGAGCTTATTATAACAAGGTAAGTTCCATGTTAAAATGATCATGTTTTTGACTATTTTTTATGGAGGCATTAATTTTCCGTTTATGCAAGAGTATCATTCATATACATAGTTCGCTAAAAGTACATTTATTTGTTTGGATATCATGGTATGTACGACTGTTTATCTTAACCGAACATTAAAACTGTCAGGAAAATCTGGAGGCCATTTGAGTTAATATTATTTAGCTGCGGGGTCGTTTTCTTTAAGTTTTTGGCTGTAGACTGCAAAATGGGGGCGTGGCTGTGCTGAACCGTTGACTTGATCTGAGCCACAGGTGTCAAACTCCAGTCCTGGAGGACCACTGCCCTGCAACATTTAGATGTGCCGCTGCACCTGAATAAAATTCGGTGATTAGCAGGACTCTGGAGAACGTATCTACACAATGAGGAGGCAATTGAGCCATTTGACTCTGGTGTTTTGTACCTGTGGCACATCTAAACACTGTCTAAATGTTTTTTCTTTGTTAGTGTGTCATGTTAGTGACTGAAGCCTGTTATGACTCCAACACATTTCTTCAGACAGGTTGGCACGACTTTTAATGCTGTCCAAAATTTTTTCTAGAGCCGACTAATTTCTTTAGTAATTATTTCTGACTTTTTTTATGCTTTATCTTGTAAACCAGGTGGGCAGAGTAATTTGAATGAATATGATGGTGACACACAGGTGAGTCTGATTAGTTTTGCTCACACTACTTTTTAAAATATTTATTTATTATCCTAATGTTTCTGCTATATTTCCTGTTTTTCCTTCCAGGTTGGAAGTCTTCCTCCTTCATGTTGGCAAAAACAAGAGCAGCACCAAAGACACTTCAGCATCAGTGATCACAAGACCATCCATTGCCGCTTCCAATGAACTTTCAAAGCACACTTCACCTTCATTGCAAAGTACCATTAATGTATAACCTTTGTTATATATTGCTGTCAGTGCTGTTTGATGTTTTGAAATAAAAGTAAATTATATTCTGCAAATGGTGCTGGTGTTTTTGTAGATTCAAGTGGCATCTAATGTCTTTTAAAATGAATTTGGGGATTATTGATGGCCAGTATGTTCTGGAAAAAAGGCTTTAATTGCTCTAGTGGCTTTTATTTGGTAGTAAATTGACAAAAAAAAGTAGGTAATGAGAGAAGGGGAAGAAAGGGAAGTGAACCCACAACAGCCGCATTGAAAACTAGATCCTCCATATGTGGGTTGTGCTTAACCCCTGCACCACCACAGCACACTCTGCCAGCAGTATTTTAAAACTCAGATTTCTATGTTGATATATACTTCACACTGTTCTGTATTAGATTAACACGTTCATCGTGTTAACTTTTGACTAAATACACTAGTGTTGGGTAAGTCAACACTGATGTGTGTTTAATTTCAACTACTGTGAGTGTTGATTCAACTGTATCACAAATTACACGTTCAAAATTACACCATCCAGAGTGGACCAATATAGACACTTTCAAAGTGCTAAATTCAACTCTGTAGTAGTTGACTGACCACTTACAAATTTGCTGTGTTTTAAGAATAAATCTGCTCCACCAGTGAAACGCTCAGAGCAACAGAGACACTTGCAATCTGGCTTAAAAAATAAAAATATATATTTTCCCAAAAACAAAAACAAGCAATGCTTAGCCTGGTGAAGGGGGTTTTGTGGGGGAGCTAGTAAAACATGTCTTGTAATACACTGTGGGAAACTGTGATGTCATTGAACACTTTGACTAGACCAGTCTCAATCCTGTGGTGAGCACGGAAACCAGACTGAAAGACGTCAAAGTGATTGGTAATTGTTAACAAACTTTTTAACTATTAAAACAATTTTTTCAATAATTTTGCTGATGAATGGAAGGTTGGAGATCAGCCTGTAATTCTGCAATAGTGATTTATCCAGATCATTCTTTTTTATCAGTGGTTTGATAACTGCTGTTTTTAAACCCTGGGGGAAAACACCTGGGGCCTCATGCATAAAGCTGTGTGAGCACAAAAAATGTGCGGCACCATATTTTTACGCACAAGCCGGAATGTATAAAAATTAACTTTGCGTCTAAGTTTGAGTAAATATACGCATACTTTTTCACTAGCGTGAAAATGTGCAGCAGCCACGCAAACTTTTTCTGTGGTCAATATAAAACTACAAAGCGTCAAAACTCACCTAAATACACTGAAATTTGACGACATTCAGTTATTTAAACCAAGCAGCATCAAAACCCGATGTTTTTTTCATGATTTTAATATTTTATTGTTTAAATGTAAACGATGAAATTGAATCGCATATATCCTCAGACAATAACATAACACACACACACAAAATAAAGAAAATAAAAATAAAAAGATGCAAAAACCTCACTCTAATGTAAATAGCACTCTTCCTCAGTTTTTGTCTCTCATAAAGATCTAACACACTGGTCTGTGCATCGGAGTGCATGAAATGAATCTTTGGGGTAATTTCATTCTCACTAAAAAAAAGGAAACAGGGTTGGATCAGCAGATTAACTTCAAACAGGTTTGATTATTTTAAGGTGATCAAGGTGTGTATACAATCACACATACATAAGTAGCTGCACCAAGGGGCACACCTGTGCGCTGCGCCACAATTTCGTGGCACAACGTAATTGTGGCACAGTGCTTTGGCTCTGGTGGAGAACATCCCAAATCGAAGGATTCAGAGGGAGCGATTGATCAGAGATCATATTGGTCTGCTGGGAAATGTTGATGGTTTATTAGCGTTTAGATTGCCTGGACTGATCATCCTGGAGCTCCGAGCAGAACTTAAAGAAGGAGCCATGTGGTACCGGTACCGGTCCAGCTGCAGCCATCCTTCAGTGGAGCCACTGGCTTTGTGAGAATGTACCTTTATGGACAGAAAGCATCTCTATTCTGTAAATGTACAACTTCTGCAGATGATTCTACTATTTAGCATAAACATCCACATTCCCATTCAAAGGGCTCTCTGACAAGCTGTCATTCTTTAAATCCCTGCTGGATGTGCTACTGTTCAAACAGGCATTTGCACGATCTCTTTATTTATTTTTTTTTTTATTTGGATTTTTTTTTTCTTTAAAATGTATTATTTTTGTTTTTGTGAGGTGACCTTGTGCCCTGAAAGCACATTTTACATAAAATATAGAATTATTATTATAAATACTTATGCTGCTACAAGCAAGGACATTGCCATGGTTATTGCTTCATGTGATGGCAGACTTCCGGGTATTTATATGAATTTACATATGTATTTAAGGGTGGCGACAGTGCGGGAGAGCAGCTGCGCTCTACTTCCCTCAAATTAGGATTTATAAAGGAAAGGTGCACAGCCACATATGTGCGCACGGCTTTAAGCATCCGATTTTTTTTTTTTTTGTGCACAGCACTTTTCTAAATTTTTGAGTCACATCAGATGGAATAACAGACAACTTTCTTAAGTTGTGGGTATTTTATCAAGACATCATTAAGTGAAGTTTAATTTATTTATAATTTATCCTAACTTTTTATAGTTAAGTAGTTGAAACTGAGTCATTATTTATGTTTTGTTATGTTTGTACATAGCATTGGTACTAGATTTAGATTTATGTGCAGATTAATCCTGTAATTTTGTTAATTTTCTCTTCAAAGAAGTTAGAAAATGTATTGCAGGCCGTGTTTGATTGGAGTTCAGGTGGTACAATCACAGGAGGGTTTGTGAGCCTGTCAGCTGTTGCAAATGAAGCTTGAGCATCGTTAATGTTGTTGTTTATGATTTCCACAAAGAATTTTTCCCTTGCATGTTTTAGTGTAGAGTGATAGCTTTGCAGTCTTTCTTTATAGATTTCATAACAAACATGAAGTTGAGTTTTATGCCATTAACGTTCGGCCCTATAACGAAGTTTTCTTGCAGATCCAACTATTTGGATCTGCAAGAATCCTTCATGGAGACTTGTTCCTACCAGACACAATCTTCATTTTAATGGGAGCAATGGAAATGTTCTTACATTAATTGGGTTTGTGTTCTGGCTTGCTCCGTCACAAACTGGTAGCTCCATTTTAACGTAGAGTGAGCTTCTGTCTGGTCTTTAGCAGAGGAGAAGGTGAGAAAGCGCAGCGTCTCCATGGCAAGCGAGAGGTGAGGGGCATGTCTCAGTGACTCTTCATAGTAGAGGTATACCCCTACAACAGGTGAACCGTAGTTTTGAGTCCACAGGACATCGCCTGAAAAGCAAGATAAACACTTCAAATCCCTGCTAGACGGCTGAGATAAGAGTAAGGAAATGTATAATCCACACAGATCCTCCTACCTGATTCCCGGTCAACGGTCACCACAAGACCATCACCACTAGACACCAGATGAGCCATTTCTGGAGGAAGATTACTTAAAGTTAGTTCTAGGACTGGCAGTATAACATTGTGTACTGCTCTCTTCATTAGCAGAGGAGAAGGTGAGAAAGCGCAGCGTCTCCATGGCAAGCGAGAGGTGAAGGGCACCCTAGCAGAAAGTGCCTTAAAAAAAACAACTGCAACCAAATATCTTGTGAAGTGAACAAAGTCAGGAATTCCACAGACCAGGCCTTTATGCAAAAGCACCAAGAAACGTATTGTTTAAATATATCCTTTGTGATGGTCTAAAACATAAAATCCCAAGAAAATACACTAAGTTTCATGATAATGAAATGATAAAGTTTAAAAAAGTTCAACAGATATAAATACTTTTTGCAGATAAGACAGTGCTTAAGTCTTTGAGGTTGTTGAACAAACTATTTGTTTAACTTTGTGAATCTGTGCTCAGAGACGTACTGTAGTTTTGCTTCTCATCATAAGGATGAGCAGAGTAATCGTTGTACGTAGCGTTCCATCGAAGCCCTTGTATCTTAGTATCAAACATGGTAACCATATACTCTGGAAACAAAGGGAAACACTCATTAATTTCAGACTAATTGAATCAGGTTCACATGAGCCTGGCTTCTGAAGTGCTGTGTGTGTGCGACAGACCGGTGCGTCCAATGTAGAGCAAAGGAGTGTTGGGACAGATGGACTCAGAGGAGGAGGTGGTTAAACTTGTTTGCTTTTCGCCCGTTTCAGGATCCACTACAAACCACACGTCATGTTTTTTTCCTGTGTACACACACACACACACACACACACACACACACACACACACACACACACACACACACACCAAGAAGGAAGGTTATCTACAAACAGCAGACAGGTGAGTTATAAAGCACTATACTGTAAAAGTAAAACTGTATAGTTTGCTTCCTAAGAGCCAGACTTTTCTCTAACTGTATCACACACACTCTCTCTGTGTCACTCTCTCATTAAGAGACAGTTTTAGCTCTACCTGGTTCAAATTCAATAAAGGAATATTGTTATTACATTTACGCAATAACATGTTTATTTTGTTATTTTAAAAAAGTATTATATATTCTAATATTGCAGGAAAATGGCTAAATAGGTTGAATGAAAAATCTGTTGAATATACCAATTTTATTTATCCAATTAATCATCAGAATAATCAATAGAATAATCGATTAATAACATAATCGTTACTTGTCGCCCTAGCAGAAAGTGAGCAAAAAAGCAGCCAAAGTCCAGACAAAAAGTATTAACAAAAACTTAAGAACGTTTAAAGAACTGTGGTGATCAAGATCACCTAACAAGTTCAATCTCCATGGGAGAAATATAAAATGAAATGAGGAATGACCCTAGACTTTTGAAAAAGTATTTGTCTTCTTTTAGGACAATTTACAATCAAAGAAAGATCAGAAATTGATAAGACATGTATAAGATCAGACCTGTGTAGAGCATGCCATCAGAGCTTCTGCAGGGTGAGGATTGAACCAGCTCTGGGATGGTAAAAGGCAGTTTCTATGGAAACGGGAAACCATCATGCTTGTTTTGACAAAACATAAAAAAATACAAAAGAAAATGTGATACAATATAAACTATCTTACCATCAAGCCCTCCTTATGTTTTCCACCAAGAACGTACAAACTGCCATCATTAGGATCTGGGAGAAAACCAGGCCTACATTTTAGAAACAGAAACAAAACAGTTAAACCTGTCAAAAATCTTTATAATTTCTAACATTATTGCTTTGTTAATAATTACAGTGAATGATAGTCAATTACAAATCACCAAAAAGTTCCCAGACAAATATGGCATTTAAACAAAAGATCAGCCAAACATAATGTAAGGAATACAGGGTTTCCCCCAGTGTGTTGTAAGCCTGGCGGCCAGCCATGCTTTGCTAGGTCCCCCGCCAGGCTAAGCGTTGCTTGTTTTTATTTTTAGAAAAATTACTAATTGAAGGAAAAAAAAATCTCAATTTTTTTTTTCTTTTGATAAATCTTTAAGCCAGACTACAAGCATCTCTGTTCTGAGCGTTTCACTCGCGGAGCAGATTTATTTCTAAAAGGTTAGAAATAAGTTTATGCATTTAAAGCCGGAGAGCGGACCAATCACACAGCTGGCTTTATTAAGTTAACCTCAGCGCGGATCCTGCGAGCAGGGAAGGGGCTTTGTGGCAGCGGGCTCCCGGCCCAGGAGGGACCCGGATGGAAGGGAGAATTTGACCTTCGGGGATCAAACCTTTATCACATCTGATGAGAGCTGGCGAAAAGCTCTCTCCTGTTGAGTTCGGTGTATGGAAAATTATGTAATAAATAGCCCCAGTGGGCTGTCATTGTAGGTTGTCATTGTTGACTCATGGTTGCTAAAAACTTTACAAGACTAACTGATTTTAGTGACATAGTGGGTGTAAAATATTGAATAAAATGTTGTGCTACATGACTAGCTTTATTTTTATTCTTACATTTAACTTTATGACACTCAAAATTACAAGAGGATCGCCAATGTTGTCTCCAAGTGTATTCTGGGTAAAACTTGTCACCAGGCATCCACCAACATCATCTGTCTCTTGGCAACAGATGGCAACTAGCTACAGCAATTTTACGGACGAAGTTAATATGAGTGGAGCTTCATGGAGCGGCAAAGTGAAAATGATGGAAAAAAGAGAGTAAGCAAAACCCAAAAACTGCACGCATATTTTGTCTTGGAGGTGAACCGGACTTTTTTATTGGCAGCGATTCAGACCCGTCAAAACTACCAGCCCAGCCAGAACAGTCAGGGAGCCGTGCTAGTTACAGGGAGCAACTATGATATTATTCACAATGTGTGAGTTAACTCTAGACTGATTGTAAATTGTAGTAGCCCAGCCGCCAGCTTACATCCCCTTTTTTCTGTCACGGTGGTACAGCGGTGATGTCAGGGACTCAAGGCTGAGTTACAGTCGCAATTTTGTCATATCTGGTTGACAGTTCGAGTTGAGTGCGTGCGAGCCAAGACAGCGGTATTGCTGGGTTTCAGTCACGTGACCCGGATGGCGTTTCTCCAGTTCAAAACAAAGCAAAGTTGATCACAAGTATGCTAATGCCCTAAATAGGAAGGAACAGCCGAGATATCTCGAAAACATAAGCGTATATTTAGGATATGATCTGTATTATCTCAGTAAAAAAAATACTTCTACTTCTCTTATAATCTTGAGGATTTACCTGGTGTCAAGGCGATCCACCTAACTAACTACCTGGAGCTGCAGACCTCATATTATGCATGAGACAGAAGAAAGCTTTCAAAAGCCTGGAGAATACAATCATCTAGTTTCAAGTTGGGTCAAGAATTTACAAAGCAAATTCAAAAGTGTTAGATGTCCAGTGTAAGTGTTGTAGATTAAAAATACAGTGTTGTTAAACACTTGTTTAGTCTAATTCAAAAACATGAGTGTTAGTTTCCCTAAAGCAGGGGTGCCAAAACTTTTTGAGAGCAAGATCTACTTTTTCTCTCACCAGCCGCTTGAAATCTACCTCATGACACAAAGACATAAAAATTGCAAATTAAATTCTATTGACTTATTTTATATGCGAATATGCATCAGTTATAGCAGAAATAATAAAGTGACAGAAAACCTAATGCAGTTTCTTCCTCAGTGAGATTCTGACACTGGGAGCAGGTTACTGGTTTCTCAGTCAGAAGCTGGTTGCAAACCTGACCCTAGCAGGTGTCAGTCAGTTATGGCAGATCTGAACTTTGGTTTGATTACCTCAATATGAGAAACTAACCCAAGGGTAAAGGCAAATCTTCGGAAGTCGGGATATAATTAATTTAATTTCACATAATTATCGCTGTAGAATTAGTTAAAACTTAATGAAATATATTTGTCCTATTTGATGTATACTCACATATGAACGAGGTAATTAGTCCAAGTTTGTCGTTTATTGAATGTTCAAAAACTGCAGCGGGTGTGAAGAGCCACAGCAAAGATAAACAAAGGTAAAACAGCCCGAACAGGTGATCAACTCTAAACCACTCCTACCTTTTTACTTTCTGTCTCTTTGTCGTTTAAGCATACCCGTTGCCGTGGTAAACGCCTGCGCCCGCAAGCCGAGCAGAGATTACATTAAAAACACAACATTCAGTCCGTTACGATATCACGTTTCCAGGCTTGATATTTATTCCTCGATTATTAATAAGCCTCTCATGAACACAGCGGTGGTTGAGTAGCTAATTTAAACTCCTACTCTGCTCGTCAGTCGGTCTTTGAGTCGCCTTTTTTTTCTTTTTTTGTTAATGGGACCGAAACGCACTGAATTGCGCAACACCTTGTTCAAACAATAATTACTGAGATTATTAATTTTAACACGCCTCGTTAATTTTTTTTAATAATTATTCATTTTTAATGAAGCTACAAACATTTAGGATCTTTGTGAATATTTTTGATAAGCCCGTCAGAAGAGTAAGTGCTGCTCCTGGTGGCGTTCAGAATATCATCTGCCGAGATCGACTCAAAACCTTCGATCGACGATTTGGTCACCCCTGCCCTAAAGAGTTTGTTATTCCAAAGAGTTAGATAAAAGCAATACTGTCCAGTGTCGATTTCTAAATTAACACCAACACTAACTCAGTCAGGTGTTGATTCAGAAATCCACATTGATCAGTCAGGTGTTGATTTAGAAATCAACATAGAACAGTACATCCCAGTTAGTGACATATTTGTGACATCACTTCAGGGAAGGAGTTACAGGAAGTGGAGGAGGAGTGCAGCAGGCCCCTGGGTCCCATCTGGGCAGATGGAAAGCAAAATATACATTCAGGGATCCAATATTTCTAATCACATCTAACAAGAGCTTTAAAAGGAGAACTCTCCTGTGTTGAAAATTGTATATGATACCCCAGTAGCTTATATAGTAGGGTGCCCCATTGTTGAATCATGGTTGCTAAAAACCTTACCAGACTGACTGATTTTAGAGACATAGTGGGTGTAAAATATTGAATAAAATGTTGTGCTACATGACTGGCTTTATTTTCACTCTTTATGACACAAAACTACAAATGAATCGTCCTTATTGTCTCCAGGTGCATTCTGGGTAAAGCTCGTCACCAACGTCACCATCAGTCACTTGGCAACAAATGGCAAACTAGCTAGAGCATTTCTAGGGATTACGTTAACATGTTTTGAATTTGTGTTGTTTCATCGTTGGTGACCAGTAGCCAGATGTTTCTGTTCTTCTCTTGGTTTGTTGTATTTCATGTCAGATGGATTTCAGAATGACATAGTCGCATAGTATGGTGATGAAACTTGTTAGCTCCGCTGTTGCAGGCATGTCCATGTTGTAAAGTTAAATTGTCATGGGCTTTATTATTTGGGCCCGGTCATTAGCCCCGCCCGACGCCGACTTGTTCCGCAACTGCGTCACATGTTTGCCTGAGGAACGGGGGCAGCAGTATGGCATCTTGTCTGTAGCTTATTATAACAAGGTAAGTTCCATGTTATAATGATCATGTTTTTGACTATTTTTTATGGAGGCATTAATTTTCTGTTTACGCAAGAGTATCAATTCATATACATACTTCACTTAACGTACGTTTATTTGTTTGGATATCACGGTATATACGACTGTTTATCTTAACCGAACATTAAAACTGTCAGGAAAATCTGGAGGCCATTTGAGTTAATATTATTTAGCTGCAGGGGTCATTTTCTTTAAGTTTTTGGCTGTAGACTGCAACACGGGGGAGTGGCTATGCTGAACCGTTGACTTGATCTATGACACAGGTGTCAAACACCAGTTCTGGAGGACCACTGTCCTGCAACATTTAGATGTGCAGCTGCTGCACCACACCTGAATAGAATAATTAGATGACTAGCAGGACTCTGGAGAACGTATCTACACAATGAGGAGGCAATTGAGCCATTTGACTCTGGTGTTTTGTACTGGTGGCATATATAAAAACTGCCAAAATGTTTTTTTTTAAATTATTATTAGTATGTCATATTGGTGACTGATGTCCATGCTGTTTGATGTTTTGAAATAAAAGTAGATTATATACTGCAACTGGTGCTGGTGTTTCTGTACATTCAAGTGGCATCTAATGTCTTTTAAAATGAATTTGGGGATTATTGATGGCCAGTAGTTTCTGGGGAAAAAAAGGTTTTAATTGCTCTAGTGGTTTTTATTTGGTAATAAATTGACAAAAAAAAAAGTGGATAATGAGAGAAGGGGGGGACCGGGAAGCAAACCCAGGACAGCCACTTTGGAAACTAGATCCTCCATATGTGGGTTGTGCTTAACCTCTGCACCACCACAGCACACTCTGCCAGTAGTATTTTAAAACTCAAATTTAGGGCTGAAACGATTCCTCGAATGATTCGAGTACCTCGATTACTAAAATTCCTCGAGGAAAATTTACCTGCCTCGAA